TCTCTCTCTCTCTCTCTCTCTCCATGGAGGGACGTCTCAGCAAAAATCTTCTATTCAGCTCCTCCTTGCTCTGCTCTTTCAGCTCTCCCTTGTTTTGTTCACTGAGGGACATCTCAGCAAGGATCTTCTCTACGCCAGTGAATGAATATCTTCACACACAAAACTCTTTTGAGAAAGAGACCTATTTGGGAAGGAGGAGTCCAGGAGAGTAGCTGCCTCTACCAGGGTGGAGAGAACAGTCTTTTTCTAACTGACCAGGCAGAGAGGTTTAAACAGGAAGTCTTGGGGGTGGAGTCAACCCCGGGCTCAGGGTTCTACTATCCTGCTCTGTGATTAGTTGGTTTCACAAGTCAGCTGGCCAGGGGCAGAGATGGCTCTGATCTGACTGAGTCGAACTGTGTTTCTTTCTGCCCTGATCTGAACCATCTTTCCCTAGTTCTGGGCTCCAGGGTCAGGGTGGGTTTCTTTAGCCAGCCCCTTTTCTCTGGAGCAGGTTTGAGGGCAGTGACACTCTTTCAGATATGGAACATATCTGAAAAGGAACATATCAGATAAGGACAAAGGAGGTTTTGGTAAGGAGAGTTCCTATTTTTAGGGAGATACACTGGAAAGAGTAGCCAGAAGGCCTTCCAGTGAGCCTGGATTTCAGTAGGGACATCTGGGCAGAGGATCAAGATGTAAGGTCTTCAACATAGATATGATAATTCAAAGTCACGAACATATCACCTCACTGAAATGAGGTGCATAGAGCAGTCATTTCCATGGACATAAAGTGAATGGCAGCTGTTTGCTGGGGTTTATCAGTAAAGGGAAATGGGGAGTTATTGCTTAGTGGGCACAGAATTTTAGTTTTGGAGGACAAAATAAGTTCTGAAGATTAGTTACATAGAAATATGAATGCACTTGGACTATTTAACTGCATTTTAAAAGGCTAAGATGGTAAAATTTATGTGTACTTACAAAGATTAAAAAATTTTTTGAAGCAGTGGAGAAAAAAAAAACCCAGGAGCTATTTATGTCATGAAATCAAACTAGTAGAAAGATTTTAGAAGATAACCACCCTCAATGTCCAATGCAGCAGACTGGAAGATGGAATGATCATTAAGACTGACCTCCTACTAAAACTAGATCTCACTTTGAGTTGCCACAGGAAGCCCAGGAGTTAGGAGTACCCTGAAATCAGCACTCTTTACCTTGCCTTAGCATTATGAGATGGATCTGGATCCTAGAAACGAAGCTCCAACAAGCAGTGCATTTAACATGATGCAACATAATGGCACCAGGGGACCTAGAAATACTTCTAGGCTCTGTCACCTTAAAGGCTGATGTCCAAATGTATACACTTTCATATTGAGACAGTGTGATTTATCTCATGCAAAAAAGAGAGATTATAGCCAGAACTCATATCTATGCTACTTTGCACTTGCATTTTCTATGATGTTCTCAACAGCAATGTAAGATAGCTCCTTTCTTAAGAACTTCATTTTATAGAAGAGGAACTGAAATTTGCACTTCATGGTAGGTATGTGTTGAGGTGAACATTAGACTCTCATCTTCCAGTCTCTGGCTTAATGCAAGATCACCACAGGGCACTGGGCACTCTTCACCCTTCTCTTTACCCCAGCTGAAGAAGGCAATCAAGAGTGGCTCAAAATACTCTTTTCCTAAATTGTTCCTTTTGTTAACTTATTGGGAATTTCTACTAGGGCTACTTAGGTCTTTCAAAGCGGCATTAAAAACAAAGACAAAAAAGCTGCTGATGTAGAAACTGCTGCTATCAGATAAATTTACAATTCTTTATTAAAAAACAAACAAACAGACAAACCAATAACCATTTACTAAGCTCTCTGTATTTCACCTTGTTAAGAGGCACAACAAGACCAAAACACAAGTTCCTATATCTACAAACCATATTGGAAGACAAGATTTAAATACACAAAAGCCATCTAAGAGTGATCCAGAAAGAAAAGTAGATAGTAAAGTGAGTTTACAAAGTGAGTTTCAGGATAGCCAGAGCTGTTACACAGAGAAACCCTGTCTCAAAAATAAACAAAAAAACAAAGCAAATAATAATAATAATAAATATCCTGCAATGAGTTTGCTCATCTGTGGGATCCTAGAATTTAATAAAGTTATCCTAAAATTTCCTTCTTTCAAATAAATGACTAACTAGAGCTTTCATTTTGTATAACACAGCATCACAACTCTTCTCATTTTCATAAAATTATGCACAAGCTACTTTTCTAATCAGCAAATGAGGAAACCTGGGCACAGAGGGGGAGGGGTAAGAGTCTGTCCATGGGCACAAAGCTTTGTAGTATGGTAGCATTTGAACTCAAGCCTGTTCTTGCACTCTTTGCCATAGCTCCTCCTGTGCAGGATAGACTCCTGCTTCCTCAAATTTCCTTACTTTTTAATGGGATGATTTATGTTGTTTTGTTCTTGGAATACCTATTTTCTGTTTTCCATTGTTCCACAAATTTGGTCCTCTTGGTTCAGATTTCTTCAATGTGCAACCAATTTTCTAACATTTTCTTGGCTGCATTCTATTCTGTAGCAATTTTCTTTTTATTGGAAGGAGTAAAACTCACTCATATTTTAAGTCTGGCCTCTTCCTAGATACCCCATGCCTTTTCTTATAATTTGCCAAGTTAAATCATCAGCATTCTATAGCTCTCTTTTCTACTCCTCTTTCTTAGTTTTGATCTCATAGCCTCTTCATGGGAGATTTCCACACAGTAAATCACTAGAACCCAAGTTTCTTCTATGACTGCTCCAGTCTCCTATGTACCGAGGGCTGCTCACTTTTCCAACCCCTCTCTGGCTATTACTGTGGGTATTGTGGATCTGAGGAATGCACAAAGGGATTAGACCAGGGACCGCTATGTAGAGAGAATTTCAAGACAGGCAAGAAAGAAGTATCAACTACACAGTGAAGTTTCAAGGAGAATGACATTTAAGTTGGTAATAAAGTCTGATAACTTCAGGAAATGGAGGAGAGGGAATATCTAAGCTGAAAGGAGCTGGGTCCAAAGTCTTTGGGGGCCTCAGGCCAACAGTCTCTGGTCTCTTCCCTGAGATGAACTGCCTGAGCTGTTCCCAATATTGACAAACTCCAGAAAAGGCAAGCTCTCTCCACCCCCGGCTGCCTCTAGTATTCCCTTGCAGTTGCAGCTGAGGAACTCTGATCCATTTGATATATTACCCACTTCTCTACTGAAATCCCAGATGTTTTTCAACCACTCAAAAAAGCATGTCAGAATGCAAGCAAGGAAGCCTAATAAGCCCAATCATGACTTCAAATAGTCTGACTTTTTTAGTAGGGTAGATCATCTGAAAAAGCCAGCTCTTTAATATTTCCTAGGAATAAATCAGTGGTCACAGACACACACCAACTTATCAGTGAGAACACTGAAGTAGCAGGTACTGTGGTAGACTGGACTTTTATGAAGCCTGTGGCCTTCCCACCCCTCAAACTGGACTACTGAGCCACTTTTAACTTACATTTTTCCATTGTTCTGAAGGAGCTTAGTGTTTGCTCTGAGAGGGATGATATATTAACAACATATTTGTTTCAGAGTAAAGACAGAAAAGAATGTAGCACATATCTAGCAAAAATCAGAGATTGTCCGGGGAAGATTAGAGATGTATTTCTCTATATCCTTAATAAATATTATTACTTAAAACACTAACCACTTAAATACTTTCAACAAGTAAAAATGGTTATTCTGGCTTAAAAAAAAAAAACACTTCAAGATAGATAAAGGATTACAAGGTTTTAAGTTTGTTAACATTGTTTTCTCCAAATTTCAAATGTTTTAGAGAGGCACAGGGAAGTGATTTGGTCAGGGTACATGATGCACTGGTCACTGGAATTAGGATCAGAACCGAGCTCTTGAATTTAAGAATCAGAACCAGTTCAGAATTTAAGAAGCACAACTAACCCACTTGGGTTTGGTTGTACTTGAAGTAAAGGGTGTATTTCTCTCAAACCTGAGGTACTTTCCTTCAAGACTGTTGGTGATGAACCTTGTCCCAAGAGATAGTCTAATTAATTTTATACCTCTCTACACACTTCTTTACATTAGCACTTTTTTCATTTTTATTTTGTCAATTTCTGAGAATGTTTCCCCACTTCATGTGACCTAAAATGTCCTGAAGGCAAAGCATGTGTCTATTTCTGATGGTGCTCCTTGATTGGTTCCCTCTCCTACCTTCCCACTTTGTACCCTTCTCCCACACAAGTAGAAACCCAGTATTGGAAAACTCAGTCTCTTGACTCAAGGCTACAATTACTCATAGTGTATTACTAGGGCAACTCCTATTTGGGCCAGTCTAAGGAAGCACAGAAATGGACAAATGCAAATTCACACTTAAACAGGCCTGGGAAAAACCATAACTCATATGGGCAAAGAAATACATTTAAGAACAACTTGGATTTCTCTATTATATCAGTTGTATTTTAAGAACTCCAAGAAAAGAGGACAGGTCATAGACAATAGGGAGTTTGCAAGTGGGAAGGGCATTGCAAGTGCTTCCCCTGAAAGCTCAGTATACACAGCTCCTTGGCACTTATGATTACTGTCTGTGAACTCCCAAGTACTACAGATTTGTAAGCTCCAGTTTTAAAAGGGTCTCCACATCCATGGTCTCACCTGTTCCTTATCTGGCAAGGTAAAAGATAGGTTTCTGTGTCCTAGTTTGGTGAAGGAGAAACCCAATCTCTTGAGCCAACATAAAAAGATGACAGCACCTGAGCCTACCAAATATTCATGAAATTGAACAAATATATAGATGAGGGTTTTAAGGAAAATAGGATGTCTACTCTTAAGAAGTACATAATTTAACTAGAAAGAAATGTCCAAAGTAAAATTAATTAAAATCACAATTCAAGGATTAAATAAGTCAGGATAAGACATGAAAGAGTAAATAAACCTTTTATGGTGAAATGAGACAACATGCTTCACTTTCTAAGTGCACTTAACATAGCCTTAATCCCATCAAGGAATTCCCACGTTGTTGCTCAATATTCTGATTTTACTCAGATTTTTCAGAGCATCTAAACAGTCTCTAGCTTTACACCTTAGCTCTTGTGAAATCTGGGTTTGTCACATTCTCTGTTGTCTTACATCAGAAGTGCAAATGCTGGCTAAATTAACATTTTTAAAAAGATACATAGAACATGAAAAAAGAAAAGGGGAAAATTTAGTCTTTAATATTCTAGAAAATTCTATGCTCACCACCTGGAGTTGCGGAAGGGGACTGATTTTAGAAAATGGTGACTAATGAATTACTCATGCAGAGAGGTAATGGAAAAGGGAGTCCAGGAAGACAAGATAACCAGGAAAAAGGAGACTGTACATAAGAAGTCAAAACGTCTTTTTTTTAAAGACTGTTTCCTTCTGAAACAGTCTGATAATCATGCTCACTGGTTCAACAGTGACATGAAGGCTACGGGGTAACCAACCACTTTCTAATTGGATTTGAGTGTCCTCGGTCATAGTCACCTGCCCATGATCAAGCCAACAAAAACCAGCAAACATAACAGCATTACTGGACCCAGTGAGTTACAGACAGACAGACAAACAGAAAGACAATGGAGGTGGGAGAAGGACATGTCGAGGGGTGCTCAGAAAGCATAGGCAGTAAGAGCTGGGGGTGGGTATGATCAAGATACATTGTATACATGTATGAAACTATCCAAGAATAAATAAAAGATAGTCTAAACGTAGTCAAATTATTGCATGGAGGCCAGGTGTGGTGGCACACACCTTTAATCCCAGCACTCAGGAGGCAGAGGCAGGAGGATCTCTGTGAGTTCGAGGACAGACTGTTTTACACAGTGAGTTCCAGAACAGTCAGGACTACACAGAGAGACCCTGTATCAAAAAAATAATTTAAAAAACCAAAATTACTGCATGGAAATGTTTGTGAATAAATCATAAGAATGGTAACACATTTTGAGCCTTTAGTACACAGACTGGGACGTTTGAAGCACTTATGCATTAATTCATTAAATGCTCACACTAATTGAATAAAGTGAAGGACTTTCATTATTCTTATTGTAGGTATGAGAAAACTAAGGTACAGAAAGTTCTGGCAACTTTTCCAAGTATCATAGTTGTTTGCTGGCAGAACTGGAATAACATAAAAAACAGAATCCTTAGATTTAAAGGGTATTTTGTATCCAGGAAAATAAACAGTGCAATTTGGAACTTTTAAGTATGGTGCTTCAAAGAATAGTTTATTTAAAACAATTTTTATTTTATTTTATGTGTGTGAATGTTTTGTCTGAACACTGTATGTATGCCTGGCGGCCCAAAGGCCAGAAGAGGGTACGCGATCCCCTGAAAATGGAGTCACAGATGATTTTAAGGCACCATGTGGGTGCTGAAAACTGAATTCAGGTCCTCTGTAAGAGTAGCACGCATTCTTAACCGCTGAGCCCTATCTCCGGCCTCAAGTACGGGTTCTTTTAAAACAGGTGGCACTTGCTAGGGCCAACTGTAAGATTTGAGTAGGCTCTAACATCTCTGCAACTTCCGTCACACTTCCGTCGCTCTAGGAGCTCACCCCTGGGGTTCTGACCTGTGGCTATTCCGTTACTAGTTATAAAGAGCTCGGCACAGCGCGTGTTCAATAAAGTGACGGGGCTCTCTCCATCCTTTTTTAGGAAGGTCCTACCTCATTCAGCGATGCAGTGGAACATAGCGAGGAATGAAATAAAAACTTTTCCTGGCGTTGCTACTCAGGAAACTGAGCTCAGTAACAGGCCTGCTATGACAGGCCTTGCCGATTACCGGCTCTTGGCATAAAGAGTGCCTAAAAGACCTCAACAGGCCCCTGGCCTCAGAAGCCACTTCAACCGGGCCGTTGCTAGGCGACCTTCGGGCGGTGGGATAGAGGTAGGGCAGCCTGCGCAGGTTCCGCCTCCACTTCCCGCCCAAGTTCCTCCCCCTCGGGCAGTCGGAACGTCAACTCGGGCGACCGGCCGAAGACCGGCGGCGCATGCGCGCTGCCTCCCGCGCCGCTCCCCGTGACGCACGCTCCGGCTCTAGGCCTCAGCCTCCGCCCCGCCCCCCGATGTACGGCTCCCGCCCAGAGTCCCCGGCGACGTCCTCACAGGGGGCTTCTGCAACGCCTCGTCCTCCACCTCGCGAGCACTGTAGACTGGCTCCCGGGTGCAGACCCACCTCCCGTGCTCCCGTGGCGGCGGTGCTGATGGGCGGGCAAGGGCCAGGCGATTGGACGGGATGCGAGGAGCCAGCGGTTGCCCGGTTCCTACTTCCGGAGGACGGGCGGAAGTGGCTGCGGTGCCTGGCGGGAGGGGGACAGGAACGCGAGGGGAGGGCCGGGCCGCAGGGGGTCGAGGGGGTGGGGCCTGCTGGCGGCGGGGACCCGGCCCCGGCCTGGAGCTGGAGCTGGGAGGGCCGAGGCTCCCAGCCGGCATCGGACGGGCGGGGTCCAGGTAAGGAGCCGGGGTGCAGTGGAGGGACGGAGTCTGAGGCGCGGCGGAAGCGAGGGATCGGAGTACTGGGAGGGTCTCGGTGTCACTGGGCTGTGAGAACGCTGTGCGCGGGGTTCCGAAGGAAGGGTGGGAGGAGTTAAGTTCTTGGCGGGGGGTGTTCTGTGTCCGCCACGCCCCTACAGGAAGAGGGGTGCGTGTGCGTGTGTGTGTGCGTGTGTGTGTCAGTGTCTGTGTGTCTGTGCGTGTGTCAGTGTGTAAAACTCACAGAAGAAAGGGGCACCAAGGAGGGCTCCCAAACTGAAAAATTGGGGCTACTGCAAGCAGGACCCAGGCCTCAAAGATTCCAGGAGAGTGCTCTCGGGAGTGGCCCTGTGAAGGAGTTTGAAAGAAATTGGGAAATACATCCTTACCATAGATTTGGAAACGGTGGGGGAGGTGAGGGTCGCAGGGGATGCCTGTGGAAGGTGCCAGCATCGAGGTCCGGGTAGGATTTAGTCCAATTGACAGGAGGTAGGAGATTAAAACACTTAACACCCGGAGAAGCTTGAGAGGATTAGTAGATGGTGTTTTAGAGAGTAGGACCTTATTTTCTGTATTTTTTTTTAGAAGACTGACAGTACTTTTCTTTACATTTCTGTACTGAAAATAGGTATGGCACAAGTCCACATACACGTATGCTCAGAATGATGGGGATACAGTATTGCATGGTGTGTACTTTATACAAATTGTGTGGAGTAGTTAAGAGAGTTTGTTGGTTGAACACAGTAAAGGACTGTAGTAAATATGGAGGGCTCAGAAATCCATGTGGGCATAGTGTCCTAATGTTTAAATGTTCCACAGGTTCACACAGAAATCAGCCTCCCGGGCCATGTCGATGTCAAAGCCTGTTTCTTCTGAGCCCCAGCAGAACCCAAGTGGATCAGTGGATGATTGCTCTTGCCTGAGCAAGAGATGGCATAATACCTGGAGTCTGCCTACTGCAAGCCTCTGAGCTTTAGAAGCCAGCTGGATGAAGGGATGTAATAGACGCCTGGGAGGGACACTGAAGTCAGCAGTGGGGGGGGAGGGGCCTGGACACACCCCTTCCCCCCCAGACTCCTCCCTGACAGGGTCCACCCAGCCATGGACTTTGGACCTGGATAAGTGGAGAGAAGCTGTGCTTTGGTGGATCTGGTTCTCAGTTTTGGAAATGGAGTGTTAAGTGGGGCCTTGATGATCTTCAGGAGAGCAACTGAGAGAAGAAAAGCAAGGTAAGGTTTCTATCTCCTTTCTCACTTAGTGCCTCGCTGTTGCTGTGCAGGAGATGTGAATGGGAACAGTCCGGGAATGCTGCCATGTCTAAAGTCCGGGCACCTCCTGTGTCCTGATGGCACTCGGGAAGCGTCACCTCTACTTCATTCACTCATTTCAAGGCTAGGCAGATTTGCTCCTAGCCTGTTCCTTCCTGAGGCTACAGCAGCTAGCTAGCTGGTAAAGGATTGTGAGTACTTGCAACTGTGAGCTTAGGTGGGTGAGGTGAGGTCAAGGAGAGCGTGCAATGGGGCTTCTGCAGGGCTGTTGGATTAATTACCTCTAAAGGCCTTTCCACAAGGGAGATAATAGGATTTCAGACCAGTCTGGACTAAGACCGAAATGGATTTCTCTGGCAGAGGCAGGCTGCTCAGTTTTGGGAATCTCTTAACAGAATAAGACTCCAAGGGAGGGGGGAAGTGGGGCTGGAGGATAGGAAATGGTTAGATAGCTTCCTAAATTGTCTCTCTTCCTTCTTCCCCAGTAAGGAAGTTTAGGTCATGAAACCTCATGGAAAGAACAGAAATAGAGCGTGAGTTTGGGGAGCAGTAGAATTTGTGGTCTAGTTCAGACTTTCCTGGTCAATGTGCAACCTGAGAAATGTTAACCACCTTCTGTCCTATTCTCGTCACACTAGAAGAGACTTCACTCAGGTTGCTACTAGGAACAAATGGAGTAATTTTGCATTTTGAAAAGTACCCTGGGCCTTGTACATATAAAACAGCACATCAGCTTTATTTTCTTGTTTATTATAACACATAGAAAAAGCTCTGGATGAAAGTTCTTTCTTTTACTGAATGAACATGCTTGCCAGAGCCTTAACAGACGTCTTGTTTTTGTTTTTTGTTTGTTTGTTTGTTTTTTGAGTGGGGTTTCTCCGTGTAACAGCCCTGGCTATCCCGGAACTCTCTTTGTAGTTTGGCCTCAAACTTTCAGAGATCCATGTGCCTCTGCCTACCAAGTGCTGGCCTGCACCACCACTGCCCAGACTCCTTAGCAGACATCTTAATTAAAGGCCTGCCTGGGGTTTGTTCCGTCACGTTATGTAAAAGGTGGACAGTTTTAGGAAATCTTAAATCAAGGGATCCTGTCAGCTACTGCATTGGCTTGGATGGCTCTCCACTTAGCTTTGCTGTGCCTTTCTCTTGGGGGTAGAGGGAAGTTTGAAGACTCAAGAGCCAGTGAGAAGACCGAACCCGATTTCTTGGAGTCAGTGCTGGACCTTTCTTTTCTCCTCTGTCATAGTCTTGTCTGCTCTTTCAGGTGCCAAGTGTTTCCAGACTGACATCTCTTGGGCTTTTGTTTTTCTTCAGGTTGTTCATAACCCAAACAAGTTGTCTTTGTACCCGCCTGCTCCTTCTTTGAAATTTACCTACACCAGTGTGCCTGCTTTTCCTAGTGATGATAGGCAGCAAAAAGCAAGGGACACACAGTGTATGTACTTGAGGCAGCAGCATGTGGTGGCAAGGGCTGAGGTCATGAAGCCTGGAGGTCAGTTACAGAGGAACCTCACATTCACTGAAAACAATGACTGTTCTTCCTTGTCATAGGAGTCCCTGTCTTTCTTCGGTGGCCTGAAAACTGGGCAGCCCAGCCTAAGTAGGTCTTTCTGGCTCTGAGATGTTCTCTTGTCTGAAGCTTGTCATGGCCCCTTAGAGGACAGGCTGCTATCTATGAGTCTCAGTGTCAATGTGTCACCTTCCCCAAATCCACTGAGCAAATGCATGGTTACCAATCTTTGCTTATGCATGGGGATCACAGTGATCTCTTTATGGCTATGTGATCCCAAGATGCCTTCTGAACCACCTGTAGGGCTTCATGTGTTCTTTCCTTATCCTGTGCGGAGTCCCTGCTGGCCTGTGAGTGCCTATAGCACCCAAAGTACTGAGGAGTTGAGTTGCACTGATAGTGTTAATGTCATTCAGAGTGTCCAGGCTGTTGTCTGGCTTACCTCACTCTAAGGAAGAGTGTGGGGATGGTTATATTGTTATTGTTTTCCTAGGGTGTTTTTTTTTTTTTTGGAGACAGGGTTTCTCTGTGTGGCTTTGGTGCCTTTCCTGGAACTCACTCTGTAGCCCAGGCTGGCCTTGAACTCAGGGATCCACCTGGCTCTGCCTCCTGAGTGCTGGGATTAAAGGCATGGGCCACCACGGCTGGTCAGCCAGGCAGTTTTCCTAGTTGGAGGAGGAGCTACAGAAGCCCTGAGCAGGAAGAGCTCACCTAAAGGGTGTGGCATACGCTGACAGCACTTGTGCAGTTGAGTGCTGAGTGGCCTTACAGCCTCAGACGAAGGTTCTCCCGGGAGAGAAACCCAGGGCCCTGACAGCCCCCCTGGTAAGTCGTTTCCTCTTTAGTGTGAGTTTTCACCTGCCAGAGCACTGCCGACTCTTCTGCCAGACATTTCTCTCAGCTTTCTCACAGGGCCAGCAGATTGCTAGGGTACCACGGTCAAGTGTACCAGGCTGTTAGCCAGGCTAGTGATGAATTTAGTCACACATTGTGTGGGGATTTTCAACTGAATTTATTGAGACCTTCCTTTATTCTAAAAGGAATCAGAGGTGGCTAATGAAAAGATTCCACAGGCATTGCTCAGTGGTCTATTGTTACTGAGCTGAATTTCTGTATCGTCATGTGGTTTGGGACAGACATGTTAGGAGGAATGATAAAGGAAACGAAAACATGAGCTTAACACTTTGGTTTTGCTTCCTCTTATGGTTTTAAGAAAAGATCTGTCACAAATTCAGAGCATGAATCCTTTCCAAACTGCAAACACTTAGGGGTATCTAGGCTGAAGTTTCTGAGGAGCCATTTCCTGGGATAGTTTTTACTTTGATCATTAGTTCCTTTTTGGTGGTAGTAGAGTAGGCAGGCAAGCATATTACCTTTTAATTCTCTGTTATCCTGCGACTAGATCTTCCTGGTTTTCCATTTGCACATAATCTGATCCCAGGCTCATCCCCAGAATCTAGACACCCAGCTCCCGTTTCTTCAGCTAGTCCCTGATGTAACCTCTAGAGCCCAGGGCCCCAGTACTGATACCTGCTGCTGCCTGGGCTGCTCAGTCCTCCGCATCTGCAGTACCTAATATTATCCAGGATGGTGATTGGAGCTCCTTATATTTTGGATCTATGGACCAGTTTCCCAACTTTTTACACTTCTAGGGAGGTTACACTTGGTGGTTTTTCTTCACACTTTGGCACTAAGTGTAAGGGCTGTAAGTCCCTTAATTCCTTTTTATGGGAAGTAAAAAAAGGACCAAGGTGTAGAAAACCAGTGGCATTCTCTTGGCACATGCATGGGCTTGAGTTTCCTGTTACAGTCTCTCCAGTCAGCTAAACTGGAAATGGTGGGCATACACATACCACACCCACACACAGCTTCACTGATGTGTCAGCCCTTTCCTCTACTTCAGGGCAGGATTCCAACTGCTGCTATCAAGATTCCTCTGCTGCCCCACTGTGTTCCTGTCACATGGGCAGAGCCATCTCAGCAGTTCTCAGGGACAGGTGGGTGCTAGGTTTGAAAGCTGGAATGCCTAAACCTAAAATCTGACTATGACTTATGATTAACAGAAAATTTACACTTACCCAAAGCCTCAGACTTCTCTGTAGACTAGGGAGCTGCTGAACTCTGCAGAGTTGCTGGGAGAGTACAGAAAGGTCAAGGGAACAGGCCTGGAGGGAAGGGTGACTCTGTGTCTAGTGATTCCTTACCATTTTAACTCCTCACCTGCCTACAGGAGCCTTATGACACTCATCTACTTCGTACGTAAATCCTGGTGTCATGTTGGAACAAGCTAGTGAACACAATCACTCGGTAAACACATACCTAGGCGTCCTCTGCAAAACTTAATGAAGCCTGCAGGTAGGAGGGTCTGAGATTTGAGTGTATCCAGTAATCAAATGGCAGTGTTCTCTGAAAAGTCACCCCCTGAGCAGCCTGTGGTTTCCTGCTCCCCAGTCTTAGGTGTAAGAGATGGGCGGTGGGAGCCCAGGTTTCTGCAAAGGGCCAGGTACCGCAGGATGTGGGAGAGAGTGAGGCTGTGGTACTGAGATGAGTGGACTGTAAGGATTCCAGATACTTCTGAATTCCAAAATGGCCCAGCCAGTGAAATCTGGCTTGCTCTGAGTAGCACCCTATTATGCAGACCTCAGACCTCAGAAAGTGTGCTCCAGGGCCACTGCTGACACCTAAGTCAGGCCCTGAAGCTCCTGGTTTGCATTTTTCCTCCCCCTCAGACTGCTTGAGGCTCTGATTGAAGCATTCCTGCTGAGCTTGTCCTGCTTGTTCACCTGGGCCCTGATGAGTCCTTGTCCCCACCCCCCTCAAACTCCCTCCAGGTTTCTTTTACTTCAGATACAAAGGAGTACAGATCCAGGCACTCCCCCATTCACTTTTAGGGTTACTACAAAAGCCTGTGATTGATTCCTTCCCTCCTTAGGGCTTCGGTTCTACACTGTGTACAGGCCTAGCTCTGGTTTCCCCACCCACAAAGGAAAAAACAAGAAAGAATCGAAACGGCTGGCTCTTGCTCGCCTTGGGCAGCAGGTGTTTCCTCCCTTGCTTCCCTTTTTGGCACCTGGCGCTTGTTGATTGCACGCACTGCACTCACCCCTCGCCTTTCTCCAGCATACATTCTACAGCTTCCCTGGTTTAGGTATAGGGAAGAGTTCCCAGGTTCTTCGTGTTGGGTTTGGTGAACGCTTTCCTTGGGAACACTCGCACCCCTCAGAGTCGGTGAGGCTCTAGACTCGTGGGCTGGGCTGGATAAGGGGACACTCTTGGGGAAAGTCTACACTGGACTAGGCTGAGGGTGTGAGTGGGATCGCCATCTACACGGAGTTGTGACCGGAGAGGGAAAGGGCCCCAAACCAACATCTCTTCCGCCACTGCCTTTCGAAGTTGGGAGATCCGGAAAACGCGTTGTTTAGATCTTGACGGGTGATCGGGAAGTCAGCAG